TGTGAACGCGAGCACGTGGACGAACGTGTGAGACTTATACTCTTTTCATCCCCTCACCCCCACCCCCGGTGTGCAGGTCTGTCTTGAGCACGTAACTTAAGTTAACTCATTCGCTCGGAACACTACGCACCAGGTCCCACAGCGACTATTGGCCTCATTTAAAGGCAGGGGCCAGTCACGTGTAAGAAAAAAATGCCTCAGGAGTTTTTGATAGTTTTTTATGTTAGGCCACACTTTTTTATTTTTATGGATGACATCCTCTGGGTACCCCAAAATCGGTGCGAGAGGGCGAAAAAAAAAAAAACAGTCCAAAAAAAAAAAAAACTGCTTAAGTAAAGGAATGCTGTCAGTACACAGCTGGAAACACAAATTTAACCACAGAAACACGTATCAAACTAACAATATGTCTTTATCCATGCTCTCAAAATATTAAAGCATTGTGAATACTTCGTAGAAATGTAAAAAAAAGTCATGAATTGATATACTTCATATTACNTCCGTGCGCGCGCAGGATGTCATCCATAAAATTAAAAAAGTGTGGCCTTAACGCAAAAGAATAAATTATTATTCCACACTTGAGAGTCGTCAAAACCTGAAAGAGGATAGATCTTAGGTGAATGACATCCAAATTTTATCTTAAAACTAAGATACGTCAACATTATATATTTTGAACGGTGACTGGCAGCGACAAGAATGTAGTTGGATCTGTAAGTATTTATCGTTTTGTTGAAGATTCATAAGTGCTGCCACAAACCGATGGACTTTTGATTATTTAAGATTAGTGTCATTGTTGATGGAAAATAGGGCGGGCCCTGTAGATGTTGTATGGGCGATTTTTATAGATAGGTCTTTAAAAATATTAAAACCTAAAAATACAATTTTTTCTTTCCATGATTGGCATAAGCACTTGCTGGTTCTGTTCTTTTGCCTGTAACGTCAGATAGGACCACTGATATAGGTATTATTATTATTTGACAACAGTAAAGTAGATCTTAAGAGATGCATCAGTAATAATACCTATATTTTCCTTAAGATCTATACGGTGAATTAACTTGAATCCTCAATAGAACCACTGATGAAACGATTATACCAGGCATCCTATTCTAACTTTTATTATACAAGTATAGTATTCTTGTTAGGGTATTTATACTTTTCAGTTAATTTCTGGTTAATTTGTTGCGGTATTGCTTGGCGCACATAGATTTGCGTGATACTGATTTTTATTCAAAAGACGCCAATCTAATCCCTCTGTTGTCCCACCACCGCTAAAGTACAGTAAGTGCGGACTGGTTCACAGCTAAAAGATCAAATTAAGTCACCAAGGATATAGTCAAAAAAAGCATATATTTGCGTACAATGGCACTTTTGGTGTTACATCTCTCTCTCTCTGTTTGTGTGCGTATGTGTGTGTGTGCGCGCTCGTGTTGAAGAAACTGTTCATGATCTTTTAGGGGGAAATGACACAAAAAATCGAATCAGCTTGACGTCACCGAGAGTTTTCTAATACTTGCCAATTGATAAGCACCCTGTCGTATTCCAATCTCGTGAAAATACAAAACATTGTAAGACGTTCTTCTTTCTCGTCTTAAGCCAAATAACCTCACGAAAATTAGATATTTGAGCTGGTGTAGTAATTTTCTTATTCCAATACCACAAAGGTCTAACATGTCTTTGTGGCCTAAACATAAGATCTCTCAATTTAAAAAGGAAGATTTAAAACAAAACTCTAATAAAGTGTCCCTTTAACTTGTTTGTAGTTTTGAACTATGGTTTATCGCACGAGAAAAGGCTATTAAAAAGGTGAAACAATACAATATGGGCGTAACGTGACGATAACTATGTTACTTGTCCATCTTGCAAACCACAAAGATGACGAAGAGGGATATTGACATGTAGCATGCCCATGTACCATTTAATTTTTTATCTATATGAACCACGAAAGATAAATGAATATTTTTGATGCCTTTAGACGAGCTGAATAACACCTCAACCTCTTGCGTTTTTTAAAAATTTTGGTGAGCAATTTTTTTATTCATACGATTACATCACCGTCAAACATAGGAACCACATTGAATGACCATCAGTGTTTGTCTGTGGGCGCATTCCCAGCCAAGTTATGGCGGTTTTACTTAGTGCTGTGTAGAAGTCTATTGATGGGACGATGGTTAACACATCTTCACACCTGTGACTTAGATGAAATGTACCTTTTACGAGAGGCCATCCACCTGTAGCTGTTACAAAATCGTTCAATTTTGCAACAGCTAGAAGGTGCCTGGTAGGGGGAAAATTACATGCGGGCCTCCAGTTGTAACAGATAGTTTAAAATTAAGAAAATCGACTTAATACAGTTATTATTATGTTCAAGCAGCCTTGGTTCTTTCTACAAACAGACACGGCGTCAATAAAAAGTCATTACCTTTGGAAGGAGTTATCTCATCGTATCATTATAGTTTTATCATAATGACTATTTGCATATTCCACCATTAGTGACTTGGTTTTTCAAGCATCCATCGTGAATCAAATTGTCATGATCACTTAATCAAGAACGGCGTAAAGGAGAGTTTATATTTGTTACTGGGTTGGAAACACGGGATCTCTCCCTAAACCCGATTATCAGGTACCAGTCTATTTATATTGACACTAGTGATTTCTGGATGTCAGGAAGTGTATGCATAGTTGTGATAGGCAGTATATCTGTTTTTCTCTCTTTTTTTTTAAAAGCCCCCCCCCCCCCTCGCCCCAAACCCGATTGTTACGAAGGACTCAAAATATGTCTTTTCTCCCTTCTTAGGGGTGACGGGGTGGGGTTGCGCTGATCGGAAAACTGTTATTTTTTGTGCGGGTTGGGGTGACAGAGGGTGTGCATCACCTACTAGATCTGCGTATGATTGATATAGGCAAGGTGAAGTTTGGATCTAGCCCTTCACCAGTGCTACGAACGACGTTGACACCAACTTGCAACGCAAGTGCAACAGCGATTACTCTAAATGTGACGGCAGGTCTTAAAAAGTTCCGCTCAACTGTAGCAATTGTGTTTTACTGCTTTCATCATCCTTACTGCCTCCACACTCGTAGAGTTCCCAGTTTATGGGGATCGAAGACTATTTTCTTGGTGTCGATGATACCTGTGAGGTCATTAGAGAAAAGATTATTGGTAAGGCCTACAGATAAAAGTGATGACCGATACCCATAATTTTTTGCCCTGAATGAAAGATAACAGAATTTCTTTTAGAACTTTTGAAATCTGTGTATGTGTGGCCTATTTAATATCCCGCATCACTTAATGCAAGACCAAGATGCTTCTCATTATACTATAATCAACCATGAAATTCATTATTTTGATGAAAAAAGGGCTTCTTTGGTTTTGAATCATTTTATCATCAAATGTTTGATTTGCTCAATTTTCAACTAGGCCCTAATATTTTTTACAAATAAATAAATTTAAAAAAAAAAAAAAAAAGGATGGTGAAGATGATGACTTGTGAACGATATGTACAAATATGTATAAAAGCCAGATTAAACGGTTATAAACTGACGAAAGAAAACATTCCGTGCTGTGGTTGGGGAGGGGCGGGGGTAGCCTTATTTACAAACTGCGGACATTTCAGACTACCATAACCTAGATTCAGTCACGTGATCAAAATCGATCAAAGTGGAACTATCTTTTAATTTCTGGCAGCTCTTTTTTTAAGCGAATGCAAATTGTGTGTCATTTTATTGTACTATCAGCATCAAAAATTTTATCTTGATTCAACGATATTATGAAGTGGAGTGAGTAGCCATTACTGCCACTACAGGTTGTTTAACTTGGTCCGCCGCTGCCTCCTCCCCCCCCCAACTCTCTTTGCATTTATAATAGGCTACCCATGGTTCCGTCTTATGCCCTGTTTTATGCAGTAAAGTAGGGGAAGAAGTAAAATGATAAAAAGGTCCATGATCATATACAGGAAAGACAATGATGCAACACACGCCAGTCACACTCCGTGTTAGGTATTTTATCAGGCCTTTGATTTATATCATTTTGAGGAAGAGCTCCTTCCTTTTAAAGGAAGACTCTGAAAAATTAACTCATAACAGATAATTGGTCAGATAGGAGGAATGCATGATATAGTCTAAAATTCGTAGTGAAGACAGGTAAAATGCCTGTAAATAGGGCTTTCAGAAACCGCCTGAGTTAAAACGCGCTTTGTGTAATTTTGTAATAAATAGGCCTACCCTATATGCCCTAATTAACTCATCGGGGCAGGCCTGCACGAAGATAAAACAACACAAAAGACAGTCTTATCAGTTATTTATTATATATGCACTATTAGTCAAGTATATCACTATAACAAATACAATGAACATAATACAAAGAAGTTGCACGCTTGTCAAATTTGAGATATAGGCCTAACCATTGTTGCTTTGCAAGAGCTAGCACTTTGCCTTGCAATAATATATTTTGCAGCAGAGCACAGAATGAGTTGTCTGTGCAGTGGAAACTGCAGTGCCCTTATGTGCTACCATACATAGACTTTCACAGTCATTGTGACTCATGAGGCAGCCAGTTGTTTAAAAACGTTCATTTTAACAAAGTGCGAGGCTGTTTGCCTCATGTTACTGCTGCAACCTGCTGTGGGAGATTTTAGGAATACTGGGACCTAGTCCTCCTTAACCTCGAGAAATAAATCATTATCCATGGTAAAATCACCTGAGCACAAAACACACGTAAGACTTGACAGTCTGAAAACATGATTTCATGATAGATTATCGTTTGGAGCGTCTGCTGTATGCACCTGTACCAGTAGAACTGTAGGCGGCCCGCCGGTCGATGCAGCAGTTGTGCTGTTTGACCCTCTTAGTTTTATTGAATAATCTTAACCAAACAAAGCTATATAATATCTACCTGTCTGTCTATGTAAGACAGCTTTTGGCCAACAGCCGGCAAATTTAATTTTAGCGCACTTTCAACTTCCCTAAACAAACAAAATGAACAGATTGCTGGCAATGCATTCTGGGATTTGCGCAAGCACCTGGTAGATGCCCGGATGTTATAATCAGAGAAGATGCATCGGTGAAGTCATGGCAGGAAAAAGAAGACGTTAACATTTTCACTAATATCATCTGTGTAACACCATCAAGATGTCCGGGCAAGACTCAGGTATGGTAACCGAATGTTTTCCGTTTACAGAGGAAAAGGAAACAAGGATACTGTTATCTTAAGGTTAAAATTTCAGCGTTTATTTAGAAGATACCGGCACCGTATTTTTTTGACAGCTCGAAGATGGCTGAATGAAATACCGCATCAGCTGTTAGTAAACACTGCTCCGGTCGTGATTCTGAGAAAGCGTAGTCGTAATATTTTATTCATTCTGACATTTACGTTTATGTTTCAACATTATACTGGTCCGAAGCGGTCGATTTCTATAAGGATGTGATTTACGTTGATTATATGTGATAAGCACATTTCAGATCTATATACAAAAGCATAGGCTTAGCCGTATAGCACAGCAGCATATGAAACACGACTGAAATAGTATTGGTTAGTACAGCCGATACAGACCGACTGGTTTATATGTAGAAAGGCAGGGGATTATTAAAAATCTGTCCTTGTGATGTAGTATATAGTTGTGTACGTAGTATATACATATTACTTAGCTTCACATTTTTCCCAGGTATGAAATCAGCATCAGTGTCACAGGTGCTAGGGTAGTGTTTTGTAATGCCCTGCTCTTAGTCTAACTCATACCATAGTAAAAACATGTGCTGAGCCACATACATATATATGCATACAAGGCAGTATCCATATGGAGAAGCAAACAGACTCCATACAATGAGAAACAACAAGAAGCTCCACCTTAAATTACCTGGATACCCATGGATCTTTTCACACCAGGGTATGAATTAAATCAATGTGGGTTCTATATTGCCTTGACTTGATAGCTAATATGAAGGGACTAATTAGAGCAACAAAAGGCTACAGATACAGCATTTCCCTATCATGATTATAGATCCATGCCAATGCTAAGCTTCTTATCATGAGCATGAAGATATATATCTTGTTCCTTAAGGCGGTTCATTAGAATGAGTATGTTAAGTAAGATGACATGATTTTAACTATATAGCAGCTTGTTAGCCTATGTTGTGAAGTATCATGGATAGCTTACTATGGGCAGAGTGTTTAAATATACAGACTGAACAGAAGCTAGTTTTATTCTGCATGACATGGCAACACATATTCCTCAGATTTATTATACTGATAATGTTGGTCCCATAGGAGTGTTTAAGATCCCCCCTCCCTCCATGTGAGCAGTGTGGTTTTTCCTGTCACTTTTTAACCTATGGCTGCATGCATGATGGATATTTGGACAGCGAGGTTAAGTCTAGGATTTAACTGAGGTGTATAGGCATTTCAGTAAATCAAGAATTCAAGTGGTTGGTGTGGTTAGAATTCTATATTGACATTGGGTTTTAAATCTGAGGCTGTGCATGTCATGTACAATAAAGGGACAGTGTACTTTTCCCTGCGTAAGTGTTTTGATTATTTAAGTTGCACTGATTTTCCCCTGCATTGATTAGGTTTTTCAAGGAGTTGTCAACCCTGAAAATGCAATATGTGCTTAAAGCACTCAGTCAAGGGGACATGAGGTCTCGATTTAAAATACAAGAGAGAATTGATTACTATCCTCACCTTGACTATCTTGATTTTATGCCTGATTATCTTTTGTCACCTCATCTCTCTCTCTGTCTCTTGCACACACACACACACACACACACACACACGCACACACACATTCATGCCTTTGGCTAATTTTTGAGGCTTGTTTCTAGAAAATTGTGAACATAGATAATATATGCATTGCATTCACTGTAGTAGCAAAAGATATGGCCAACACTTCAGCAAGCACATATATGGCTCCAGATATTGATTGGTCTCTGTAATATTATTTCACTTCATTGTTTACCTGCGTAAAAGTTGAGTACATCTTCATATTTTGAGGTTACAGTAACCGTTACAGTATAAAAATATCCTGGCTGTCAAGACACAGGGTAAGAATTCTAAACCTAGCCAGCTGGGGGAGGGGACTTAACAGTTCTTTTAAGTTAACAGTTGGGCAGGTAAATTAACAAGTTAAAAGTAGAATTTTGAAATAATCCAGTTGGCCAAGCATAACTTTTCCCCTTGCCTATGCATATTGAGGGTGTGTTTATGAATATACCATTGTGTATAATAAATCAGTGATTCCCAAACAGATGTGGATTGTCTCGGGTGTGCAGTTCATAGCACAGACAGTCCTGATATACCTTGAATTGGCTTAGTTCCTCACCTGTAAACAGAACAGCGGAGGCTTTTGTGATGTTCTCTAACTTAATTGATGTGAAATTGTCGCTCCTAGCTCAGATAAAAGAGAGACTTTTTCAGGACAGTTCATATGAAAAATAAATAAATACATGAATAAATAAAACAATATGAAATGAAAATAATGATTGTAAATTGTATTTATCACAAAGGAACTTGTGAGATAGTTATGGAATACAACAATTTAATATGGTTTGCTTGGAAAAATTCAGATTAGCTAGATGCTGGTGAACATGAATAGCTTTCACAGAAGCAATCTTCAGTGTTCACTACATAAATGGAGGCTGAAATGTTACATGTTCCCTTGTTAAATGTCAAAGGCTTATTTCTGGATTTTTATATCGGCCTGTGGTATATGCTATACCTGAGGCAGGTGTAAGGAAAACTGGTGGTGGTTTGGAGGGGGTTGTAATATGATGTTCAGATTCTGACAATGATTAGTCGATTCCCTGGTGAAGTGATTTTAAAGGATTTGAAAGGTGGGGGGGGGAGAGTGGCCTTACCTGTTAACATGGTGAAAAGATGGCAATTTAGAGCAAATATAGTGCTTTCAATGTGAAAACAATTATTCTCCTTTGTATTCATTGGTAGATGAACAATTGGACGAAGAATAAAAATCAACATCTCTGATTGATGCTAGACTCAGTAAACACATGTATTGGTATTATTTCATATGGAGAAACTTTCATTGAGCCATACAAAAACGTTGGGGCTGAAAATAAAAAGCGTAAAGGTGAGCCTCCTGCTCCCTGCTATGAATCACACCTTCAGATCCTTATCTCGGAGAAAGATTAACCCGACCAGTTACTGTCTTCGTCAGAGGGCATACTTTCCCCAGAATAGATAGTGTAGATAGATGTTGCTCAGGTAGCCTGGTGCACAGGGTAGATACCTTTACCTCCACCCACACCTGAGCACACAAATGTTGAGGAAGGGTTTCTATTTAAGAAGTGAAGAAAATTAACCTTGTATCTTGGACAGCGATGGTCGTGAACTCCTCACCTTTGAATATATATTTTAAACTTCTATCTTTATTTGACTACTAGTATCCAGTTTTTTTTTACTTTAAGATTGTTTTATTTTGAATTGCATGATTAATTGGATGTTTGCATTTTTATTTTGATAACTAAAATTTTTAAGCCCATAGTGCAGCTTTTATTTTATAGTCATGACATAAGATTTGAAGGCCAGGTGCTGCACATTGGATAAGTCAACATTCTTTTAGAAAGGTGAAACAAACCCATACTATATATTAGATTTAAAGTATAAAATTAGTATGTGAATGACATATGTAACAAAACTTATAAACTGCTTAAGTAGTACTAGGTCTACTACCAAGTTAGCTTCAAAAATAAAGACAGTTGAAAATGTCAAAATGAACAAACATGTTGAAATTTTCTTGCTTAATGCTCTTTTATTATTGGATATTGTAAATGAGGCACATTTTATTTTATTTGTTATTATAAATAAGGTATGTTTTATAAAGTTTGTCAACTACATTTTTATGATCCATATGGGTTCATGGCAACTTCTCTCCTGTTTCAGTAGTGTACGTGAAGGAAATGATGGTAGTGTTCAGCCTTACGTACACAATTATGGTCTGTTGCAGTTTCACAGATTTTATTTACAAATTGAATAAATGAATAGATAAATGGAGAAATAAATGGATAATAGTAAATAATCTTCATTGTTTCCAGCACATTTTTTTTTCAAAAGGCTATGACCCAGCCAATATTGTACAGCGCAATATTGGAATGTCCTTTTCGTATCTATAATGAAGGTTAAAAAACCCTCACATGCATAATATAACTCTAGTAAGATGTATTTGAACATTAGTCTGAGACCCCATCCTCATACCTAGATCGAGCAAGCAGAATCGACCAATCTCCAAGGTTTTGTTGTTTTTTTTGCTAAATTACAATCAGCTTAAGCGGCTCTGATGTCTGGTACATCTACTGAAGCTGGTAAGGGATAATTAACTATCATTAAGCAGCTTCAGTAGGCGTGCCAGACATATAAGCCGCTAAATCTGAATGCAATTTAGCGAGAATCCCTTGGGAGATGGGTCGAACTTGCTAGATCGATCTTGGTATGGGAATGGGGTGTAATGGTGGTGTTCTTGGATACGTGTTCTGTTTCTTGCCTGGAATGCCATGCGACTTAATCATGGCCTTGAGTAGGAACAGTATTTGCAGAAAGATTTAGGAAAAGTCTAGGTCAATCTTTAATATTAGGTAAATGGCTGGTTTTGTTGTTTTGATATTGTTATGTCAATAGCAGAAGTGTGTAATAAGAAATGAACCATCCCTCAGAGACTTGATGCTGTATTATGAATAGAATTGACTCGTCTTAGCAAAGTTCATGCTCTCCGTATGTTAATTCCCAGAAGAAATTATCTTCATTGTTGTAACACATGTTGCTACAGATAGGGCGAACAGGTGATTAATTCTCTATGGATGAGGAAGTTGAACTGAAAAGGACACATTGATTATTAAAGATTAATCAACATTCTTTCTTTGTTGATTTGTCCTGTGACTCTCATATCTGTTTAAGTGCAATAGTGGTGTAATAATATCTGTGATTAATTTTTTTTGCATAGTTTATTGATTGCAAAATGGTGTGCTGGAATTGAGGATTGCTTTTGTCCAAGCATGGGGATTTTTATATTATAAATCTTATTAACTTAGAGGAATGATGAGGATAATGAGAGATTAACAAGTAGAGGATATGACAAAGGATAAAGAGAATACGAATGATCAATATTACAACAGTCTACATTATTTTGTAATTATACTGGGGGG